TCGAAAGTGACAGTAAAGACATTTATAATGTTACAAAAGTCTTTTGAACTTCCTATTCATCAAAGAATCCTAAAAATAAAGTAAAAAAAAATGTAAAACTGACAGACCAACAACTGTTTCAACATTGATAATAATAATAAATGTTTCTTGAGCATCAAATCCTCATATTATACTGATTTGTGAAGGATCATTTGACACTGAAGACACTGACACTGGTGATGCTGAAAATTCAGCTTTGATCACAGGAATAAATTACACTTTACTATATATTCACACAGAAAACAGCTGATTTACACTGGAATAATATTTAATACTAAAACTGATTTTTGTTGTATTTTTAATCAAATAAGCGCAGCCATGGTTAGCAGAAGAGAATTCTTTTAAAAGTATTTAAAATCGTACCGACCCCAAACTTTTTAACGGTAGTGTATGTTCCTCACCTCTGTCTTCATCGTCACTGCCCGGAATCTTCGATGCCTTCATCGCCGCTGGTCCTGTCCAGCCCTAGGTCGTCGTCACCACCATCCCTGTCCATCACTGAGCCTTCATCTACACCCAGTCTTCCTCTTCTGCACCCTCCACCAAAGCCAGCCATTCCCTTGGCTCTGCATCCGCCTTGGAGCCTCCGGTCCCCAGCTGGTGTGAGGAGTCCTGGGCTCAGCCTCATTCCCCGGATCCCTCAGTTCTACTTCTGGCCAATGAACGAACACGGTATGATTATAATTCAAGCTGCATCACAAATCAGAAATCAGACCGTGGATCGGTAGCATTCAAATATGTAATATATGCTAGTGTTAACGGGTCAAGTGTTCACCAAAGAGTCTTTAGCTGTTTCTTGAAAATAGCTAAAAACACCAATGCTTGGGTGGAATTAGGCAGGTCACACTGGCAACGTTTACACGCAACCAAATAATCCATTAGTAATCGGATTGACGGCTCAGTCGGACTGAAAAACCTTCATGTAAACACGTTAATCGACCCAATTGAGCTCGAAAGGGGTGGTTTATTCCTTTTCTACTCCGATCGAGAGGACATGTAAACACTTTGTTCGGATTGAAAACCGAACCTGAAAGGACGGATCGAGCCGCGCGGATCGAGCTGTTCTTCCTGTTGAATAAAGTGTCATATAAATGAGTGTCCCATCATTCTTAAATTCTCCTTTCACTCAGCTTCTGTGAAGTGGCGCAGGAAAACGTCCCACCAGTCCTTGTTTCGGATTCTCATCCACAGACGACTGGTTTTGGGCTAGGGGAGGGGCATTTACTGAATGATAAATATAAGCATGGGACAACGGTTCATATGTCATAATCTCCAAATTACGACCAGAAATGGATAAATATAAAGTGTGCTGTTTAAAACATAAATCGCCGATGTATGAGAATGGTTATTATGCGCAAACAGCGGGAAACTCTGTATATCTGTGCAGTGTGCGCATGTCAAAAAATCTATTCCGATTTGAAGCTTGTGACATATAAACGCGCACATCAACCGATCACGTTTAGCTTTCATGTAAACACTTCATTCAGATTCATCTATCGGAATTAATTCAGTCCGATTGAAACAAAAGTTGTGCATGTAAATGTAGCCACTGTCACTCTGGTTGTTGCTTTTCATAGATACACTCACCTAAAGGATTATAAGGAACACCTGTTCAATTTCTCATTAATGCAATTATCTAATCAACCAATCACATGGCAGTTGCTTCAATGCATTTAGGGGTGTGGTCCTGGTCAAGACAATCTCCTGAACTCCAAACTGAATGTCAGAATGGGAAAGAAAGGTGATTTAAGCAATTTTGAGCGTGGCATGGTTGTTGGTGCCAGACGGGTCGGTCTGAGTATTTCACAATCTGCTCAGTTACTGGGATTTTCACGCACAACCATTTCTAGGGTTTACAAAGAATGGTGTGAAAAGGGAAAAACATCCAGTATGCGGCAGTCCTGTGGGCGAAAATGCCTTGTTGATGCTAGAGGTCAGAGGAGAATGGGCCAACTGATTCAAGCTGATAGAAGAGCAACTTTGACTGAAATAACCACTCGTTACAACCGAGGTAGGCAGCAAAGCATTTGTGAAGCCACAACACACACAACCTTGAGGCAGATGGGCTACAACAGCAGAAGACCCCACCGGGTACCACTCATCTCCACTACAAATAGGAAAAAGAGGCTACAATTTGCAAGAGCTCACCAAAATTGGACAGTTGAAGACTGGAAAAATGTTGCCTGGTCTGATGAGTCTCGATTTCTGTTGAGACATTCAGATGGTAGAGTCAGAATTTGGCGTAAACCGAATGAGAACATGGATCCATCATGCATTGTTACCACTGTGCAGGCTGGTGGGGGTGTAATGGTGTGGGGGATGTTTTCTTGGCACACTTTAGGCCCCTTAGTACCAATTGGGCCACGGCCTACCTGAGCATTGTTTCTGACCATGTCCATCCCTTTATGGCCACCATGTACCCATCCTCTGATGGCTACTTCAAGCAGGATAATGCACCATGTCACAAAGCTCGAATCATTTCAAATTGGTTTCTTGAACATGACAATGAGTTCACTGTACTAAAATGGCCCCCACAGTCACCAGATCTCAACCCAATAGAGCATCTTTGGGATGTGGTGGAACGGGAGCTTCGTGCTCTGGATGTGCATCCCACAAATCTCCATCAACTGCAAGATGCTATCCTATCAATATGGGCCAACATTTCTAAAGAATGCTTTCAGCACCTTGTTGAATCAATGCCACGTAGAATTAAGGCAGTTCTGAAGGCGAAAGGGGGTCAAACACAGTATTAGTATGGTGTTCCTAATCGCCTTGGCTACGGCAGTTCATTGGAATGAATGTGTCAATAGAGCCGCCATCATGGAACAGGGGAGCCCCTCCTCTTTAATGCATAAGCGTCAATGTAGGCAAAGGTCTAACGGAAATAAAATCACCATAAATCGTCATGAATGCGATTTTCTAGTATTTTGGTTCGTTCCAATGGTCAGACATGTATTTAGTCCAGAGAGAAAAAAAATTCTAGCAATTCCAGTTTTACCACTAGGGGGTGTATATGCTTGTGCTGAGTGGGAATGTTCTGTTGCTGTAGAATTTTCAGTTTTGTGAAGGTGTAAATGTAAGACTTTTCAAAAAACATTTTTAAGACCAAGGTTTTTTTTTGTTAAATTAAGCGTTTTTATGATTAAAGCAAGAACAAATATCTGCCAATGGCCACCGGAAAATGTTTTCATTACAAAAGATATTTATTCTTGTTTTATGTTTAAACTCAATTTTGTTAAAAAATTTTAAGACCTCATATTTGCATCTCAAGTAAATGTATCTTGATTTAAAGATTGTTAGGACCCTGAGATATTTTGTTCATATCAACTGTCCTTGAATATAGTCTCTCTCTATCTCTGTGTAGACATGTTTGTGTTTCAGGTGGGCGTTAACCCTGTTAACCTGTGGAAGACTGTGATTGGTCCTGCTATACACTTGACCCGGATATAAGGACCGCCCCAAACACTCAAAACACTTTGTGCTTTATGCCATTGTGCTTCGCATTTGTAGTCTCTATTTGATTGTGCTTCTCTTTGTGACCTTTGTTCGTTTCGTCATTATTTAATTGAGTAAGAGTGTCGTGCCAGAGAGATTGTTAGTGTTTAGTGAAACTTTGAGTGTGTGTTTGTTGAGTGTATCCTACTTCTAATATTCTCCTTTATCTGACTATTGCCTGATTGACTACGGCTTGGATTCTAATTCTAACTTGTCGACCTGAGATTTTATTAATAACTGTGAATATTCTGGTATATACTTTTTTTTTACCAGACTAAGGGATGTAGGGGGTTTGACACCAATTTATTTGTATCTCTTTTTCCCCTTGTTTATGTTTAAGGGAGTTAGGTAAGTGAACTGTATTTTTGTTTTCTTTCTTTTGTTTGAGGTTATTTAGTTTCTAAATAGATTGTTTTGTTTGTTATTTTGGCCTTGTCTACCCCTGACGCTAAACCCTTCATGGTTAATAAAGCTCTTCATATGTTATCTCTCTGGTAGTGTGACTCCCTTCCTTTTTCTTGTTGCGGCTGACCCCTAGACAGTCGTAACAAGATGTTTAGATATTTGTAATAGAAAATAGGACATAAATACTGAGGAAGATGCAATATTTAATTTCATGACACTCTGAATTAAAAACTTTTTGCTCTGATTTAGGAGTGTTTTAAGGCCTATATTTTTGTAAGGGAGAATTAAGACTTTTAAGGACCCACAGAAACCCTGTGATATTTATAAAAAAATTAAAGAACTCTATGGTGACTGGTGCAAACAGAGGGCAGGGTTTCTTTATTTGCTCACCTCCACTACTATGATGGACGCTACAGTCTGAGGCTGAATATATTATGCATAAATGCATAAATTTCTAGCCCTTGTTTCCAGAAGAAATTTTAGACTGCCACCTTGTGGAAAACACAAGGCTTGTAAAGTAGAATAAACAAAGGCATCTGCTCAACTTTACTGAACTACTCAGAACATGACAGTAAAAGAATTGAAGGTACAGAGATAATGAATATGTTCACTTCTGTTTCTGTATCAAAACAAATTTAATTCCCCCATAAAAAAGAATGAGAGGAAAGACCAATGAAAAACACATAAAAGACCAACAAGAGAACTTGGAAAACATAGACAACAACCTATTAGAGTGAGAAATTAGCATTTGAAATTACAAGAGAAAACTAAAGTCTACCATAAAAAACAAAGGTTTAACAATGAAATACAAAATAAGACCACAATTAACAACAGCCACCAATAAATGATTATCCTAATTCAATGAACTCACACAGGATTGAAAACACAACATGAATGACAGGTGTAAACACTGCTTAATGTGAGGTAAAATTACAACAAAAATTGAATTCTGAATGGGTTGGTATAAGATGGTTTCATCCAACATTTTTAAAAGTAATTGATTATACATGTACAAATAAATTAACAATCACCAGTGGCTTAAAAAAAAGCACATGAAAACAACCGCAAATGGAGCATTTGAAGCGGCATTGCAATGTCATGGCATCATGTCACATAAAATTCATTTTTATTATTGATATATGATGAAAACATTTCTTTCGCGTATAGAAAATGTGAAAACGCTCAGCTTTAATTCATTATTCAGGTCGAGTCACCACATGAATCTTTGCGCAGCCGTACTGTCGGGCCACTGAAATGTTTTATAGATGAATATATACACCGTAGCAGCATTGACTGCGGTATAGAAGCTAAACTCAAGAAGCAGTCTGGGTAAAGACGGCACAGGGACGTGAACGCGATATAACAGATACGGGAGGATGAAATATCGAAACTCCAAGAGTTTCTGCGGAACGGTCGCCGCCACGAGACACGTACAGAACGCCAGACACCAAAACAGAGACTTGGCCCTCAAAGTATCTAGAAAGTTCCATACTGCGAACACATATCCAGGGACTAAAAGGAAACGGACAAGGTCGTGTCTCTGAAAAACCCTCTTCCAAACATAGAACGGAAAGTGTCGGTTGTCCGCGAGCAGATACTTGTGAACAAAAGTGAATTTCCAGACCAGAAACAAGGAGGACGCCATCAGCACGGCATAAATGAAGGGTTGCTTTTTTAAAGACTGCAGAAACCGGACGACCCTTTGGTAACTCATTGAGGTAGGAAGAGAAAACACGAGCGCAAACGACAGGAAATAGAAAATCTGAGGGAAGTTCAGACATGCTTCGTGATTACTGCGATCTCCGACCACGATTCCGTCGTTCAACGCCGTGAAAACCACGAAAAGAACGGCTACAGCAATGTACGGCCATGTGGACAAGAACACCGCTTTTATATTAGAGGGCGTTTTCAGGAAATCCAACAGGAAACGCATCACTCTCATCACACCATTGATGGTTAGAGGGATTTGAGAGGGGGATTTTTCCTCCCGCTTCTTCGATTGTTCGGTTCGCCAGGTCTCGTCCATTTTTTGGGCCACCACGGCGCCGGCGCAGAACGCCACCCAGATGATGTTGGTCTGCCGGAAAAGGACGGCGCAGACGCCGAGGAACGCCGCCGCTTTGTGGCATCCGTACAGAGTCATGAGGTACATGAAGAGGGTGAAGAACGTGGAGCCGGCGTCGGTGTAATACAGGAACGTGAAGAAGTACAGCACGGGGAACGTGGACAGAGCCAGGGCAGAGAATATTCTACGAGAGGCAGAACGGGACTAGAGAGAGAGAGAATGAAATATGATGATAGCATTACACCTTCAATTGTTTTTGAGGCGTCATTCGGCGTAGGCTATGTTGTTGCTCAGGTGGTTTGTGTGGTCCCTTGGTGCCTTTGTTGAGGTTATTACTTTTCTAAGCGATAGGATTTATTGTTTTCGCTTGGTTGACAATGAAACGGGCTGAAAATAGACTGCAAACCAACAGACTGCTGACACTACACACCTTAGCAACCGCATAGCAACACCCAACAATTCAATTGTGAGTTTTGCATCTGCGAGTATCAGGCACAGTTTCTTTGGATAATGTGTTTAGTTACCCTATATTCACTATTAATGAAATTATTATTATATTTTTTGAAAACTCCTTGTCTCCTGTACTGAATATTCTGTCCCCACCCCCTTATGGTGATAAAAAAATATTTTTAAAATAAAAAAACAATGACAAAAAATTATTTTGAGGGAACATTACAATATGTTTAAGTGTCTCAAAACATTTAATTTGTCACTATTTCTTTATTTTGTGCTCATCTCCAAACCATGCATCCCCATCAATAATAAATATTCTAATAATTTTTATTCAAACTTTTAAAGCATCAGTTCAATGAAATGTATGCGTACAATTTGTATTATTCTTTTTTAATAACAAAGCCTCTCTGTTCCCTATATTACGGTCATTGCACCAGATTTTTAGACTGAGTGTTATTGGTTATGGTTTATCATTTTTATCATTTATAACAGACTTTTCATGATGAAAATAAAAAACTGAAAAACATTTAGCACCTTAGCAACTGCATAGCAATATTCAACAATTGCGAGTTTTGCATGCCGGGCACAGTTTTATCAGATAATGAAGAAACATCTATTTAATAAATTATTAAATTTATAGAAACTTTTGTCCTCTGTCTTCTAGCATGATTTTGGAGTAAATAATTTTTTTTTTTTTTTTTTTTTTTTTTAGATAATTTTAATATCATGTTATATGTTTATAAGAGAGTCAAATGCATTAGTAAATTTTTTGCTTGCCCCCTAACCAATAATAAATCAATAATACATTTATAAACAGTTTTAAACTCAAGGAAATTATACTTATTTTATTAGGAAAAAAAAAATTTCTGTCTGCTGTTAAGATGCCAAGCATTTTAGAAAACAACTGAATTTTCCAATAGCATTTATATTTGGTTAGGGTTATGGGTTTGGTTAAACAGGAGAGTTTATTATATTTTTAATAATATTATAATGTTTCTGATATATTATTTTACACAGAGCATTTTAAATATGAATAACAGAATTGTGAACAAAAAACATAACTAATAAAAAAATACACATCATTTTAAAAGGTTGAGCAAGGCCATAATATATATACACTCACCGGCCACTTTATTAGGTACACCTGTCCAACTGCTCGTTAACACTTAATTTCTAAGCAGCCAATCACATGGCGGCAACTCAGTGCATTTAGGCATGTAGACATGGTCAAGACAATCTCCTGCAGTTCAAACCGAGCATCAGTATGGGGAAGAAAGGTGATTTGAGTGACTTTGAACGTGGCATGATTGTTGGTGCCAGAAGGGCTGGTCTGAGTATTTCAGAAACTGCTAATCTACTGGGATTTTCACGCACAACCATCTCTAGGGTTTACAGAGAATGGTCCGAAAAAGAAAAAACATCCAGTGAGCGGCAGTTCTGTGGGCGGAAATGCCTTGTTGATGCCAGAGGTCAGAGGAGAATGGCCAGACTGGTTCGAGCTGATAGAAGGGCAACAGTGACTGAAATAACCACTCGTTACAACCGAGGTATGCAGCAAAGCATTTGTGAAGCCACAACACGCACAACCTTGAGGCGGATGGGCTACAACAGCAGAAGACTCCACCGGGTACCACTCATCTCCACTACAAATAGGAAAAAGAGGCTACAATTTGCAAGAGCTCACCAAAATTGAACAGTTGAAGACTGGAAAAATGTTGCCTGGTCTGATGAGTCTCGATTTCTGTTGAGACATTCAGATGTTAGAGTCAGAATTTGGCCTAAACAGAATGAGAACATGGAACCATCATGCCTTGTTACCACTGTGCAGGCTGGTGGTGGTGGTGTAATGGTGTGGGGGATGTTTTCCTGGCACACTTTAGGCCCCTTAGTGCCAATTGGGCATCGTTTAAATGCCACGGCCTACCTGAGCATTGTTTCTGACCATGTCCATCCCTTTATGGCCACCATGTACCCATCCTCTGATGGCTACTTCCACCATGTCACAAAGCTCTAATCATTTCAAATTGGTTTCTTGAACATGACAATGAGTTCACTGTACTAAAATGGCCTCCACAGTCACCAGATCTCAACCCAATAGAGCATCTTTGGGATGTGGTGGAACGGGAGATTCGCATCATGGATGTGCAGCCGACAAATCTGCGGCAACTGTGTGATGCCATCATGTCAATATGGACCAAACTCCCTGAGGAATGCTTCCAGCACCTTGTTGAATCTATGCCACGAAGAATTGAGGCAGTTCTGAAGGCAAAAGGGGGTCCAACCCGTTACTAGCATGGGGTACCTAATAAAGTGGCCGGTGAGTGTATATATATATATATATATATATATATATGGCAAACACTTTACAATCAATTCCGATTAGTTTACATTAGTTAACTAACCAGAGAAATACATTTGTTACAGTATTCATTAATCTTTCTTAATATTAGCTAATAAAATACAAGTTCATGTCAGCTCAGGTCCATTAAATATTAACATCTTTTGATTTTAATAAATGTGTTATTAAATGTTTAAAGTAGCATTAACTAAGATTAATAAATGCTTAAGAAATATTTCTCATTGTTATTTCATGTTAACTAATGAAAACAAATGTAACCTTATTCTAAAGTGTTACCAATATTTAACTTTAATTTAATAAACTTGCGTGCACCTAATTGAAGAATCACCACTAAACTTATATGGGGGGAAAAATGAGATCAAATCATACACCTTGTCTTTGATGTGCAGCCTGCAGATGATCAGATAGATGATATAGAGATTGCCACTATTAAAGAGCAGATTGATGAATCTCAGCATGGCAGTAGAGCAAACCACCCTGCCCTTCAGATCTGCCAGCCAAACCACCGGCCTGATCAGACCCACTGATGCCAGATACAGCCCAGGAAGAGTGGTGATCATCGGATCCCACTGTGGAAGAACACACATGGCCATTAATGACCAAACACACACACACACACATACTGAGAGATTCACGCATCATTTACAAGCATACCTCATTAAACTTCCCATCACAGTACTTCTGCGCTTGAGGGACATGGAATATCTCATCCATGTACGGATCTCTCTGTTCCCGTGTGATTTTGGAGAAAAGAAGGCAGGATATGAGAAAGTTAATGCTGCACAGAGCCGTGAAGATATAAACCTCAAATCTCTCCATCCTTATTCAAACAAACAAACTCGATATTTGATGTTATTACGCTTATGGAAATGGGTGGTATGTGAGGATGGTTAAGATAGCATGCGATGCATTCGTTCCTTGTAATCGCGCTTCTTCTGGAGTTTCAAAAATGTGCAAATATATGCAAAAACCGCATTTTTAAGTTTTGGTTTTTGACAGCTTAGTGGTGCGTCACATACTAGAGTCCGTGTGGAAACCGGAAGCGTGGATAATTAGTTCCCACACAGATTTTGTCATTGATCATTAAAATAATAATAATAAATATTGTGTCCGTACTAATGTTGATATATTTTAATATGTACATCACCTATACTATAGTATTGTTCCTTATTACTTTTCTTATTAAAAATCTAAATAAGTCATCTTGACAAGTGCTTATAAAAATAATAAAAGCCTTGCAAACATGAAATCTGCTTTCTACTGTAGAAGTATTTGATTCTACTTACTGCATATTCCATCTGTAAAAATACACAATAAAGAGTTAAAATACAAGTGTTATTATTATTTACGTTGACCAATTAGAAACGGGCCGATAGTCCCCGCACATTTTACAATGTTTCATACCAAGCACTGAATTAGTGTGTGTGTGTTTTTTTTTTCTTTCTTTTTTTTTTTTCTGTCTTATGCTTTTATAAACTAAGACTTGCGTAGACTAGTTAACGAAGACCTTTTTTAAAATATATGGAATATGGAATATCACCAACGGAATGAGTCGGATGGTGTCACATTATTATCATTCCGTCCGTGGACACTGGGTAGCGCGTGCTGTCTAGATAAAGTTGATGTACTGAAGGCATTTGCATATTAATAATGCAGCTTACACAAGATTTGGAACTGTTTCCTGAATACACAGTGACTCAACTTCTCTTCAAAGATGTGAAAAATGCGACGGAGTTGAGGAAAATGGCAGTGAATGGAGAAATAAAAGGCGCCTTGATCAATCCATCAATGGTAAGAGCACGCAATTATGTAACGTTACAGACTTTTTTTCTTCTTTTTTTTATGATTCTAAACTTTGCAGAAAATCACCAATGGTATCCATAGTTCTTGTCGAAATACTATGTCTCAAAAAGTACAATGGGGATACCATTTTTTGGATGTATCATATCATGGCAACACTGTTGAAGATAGATAGACGACACAACATATTTCGGATTGTATCGAAGTTTTTTTGAACATTTACCATAGTATACTATAATTGAATTAAATTCACATGTATTTGTATAGCGCTTTTCACAATACACATTTCAAAGCGGAGTCCACATTACAATTAGTGATCTGTTATCAGAGTTAACTTAACTGTCTAAGTTATGTATTTCAGAAATGTATACAAAATCACAGTTAGCGAAAAAGGTATTAATATAAACGATGTAAAAATTTAATGCAAAAACAATAATGAATACTTGTTTGTTAACAAATGATTATAACATTTAGAAAAACGTAGCATTGGTGCATTCATATGATACTATTATACTATGATATGGTAAGTGATGTAACCTTCTTCTCCTATTGTTCTGTTGTTATCATAGTTTGAGATTTGCTGTATATTTACTCATTTCTTGTTCTCTGTAAAGGTCGTGGATGCATTCCAGATCCTTGTGGCAGCAAATAAAGCAGTTCACCTCCATAAAATTGGGAAAATGAAAACCCGGAGCCTTTATTCTGAAATAATTTTTAATCTTTCACCCACAAACAACGTAAGTGACGTTCCAGTACAGGAACACGGCTGACACTAACTGTATTTGGTTTACAGGGTGCAATTTTAACATTTAAGTTGATTGGACCTCGCAGATATCCGAAGCGTTCAAAAGGTTCGGGGTCTCAGACAGTGACAGTGCGGTTCACATTGTGTTAGTACACGATAAAGAAGAGAACCTGAACGTCGATGACATCATCTCAAAGGTGGACGGACAACAGATTCCTGTTGATCAAGTGTCCGATTTGATGGATGCTGCAAAAATTAAAAAGGTTTGTCTTCTTTTTGACAGTACTGATGATGTAGAACAATTTCAGATGGATCTTGTTTATTGAAAGTACATGCATGTCTCTCATTACAGCTTTACAAAGTCGCACCGCAGGAGGAAAAGTGCGGCAGCCTTTTGGACGCTGTTGTTTGCAGGATGGCCACTAAAGATGTTGCATAGAGAATATATAGGTGTTGATCTGTAAACAAAAGCCTATTTATTTGAAATTCCTTGGTTTTATTATATGTATATATTTTTAAATAAATAAATCATCTTGAAGGTCATTGGCTATTTTGCTGTATCTCTATTTTTCAGATATTCTACACAGAAGAAATCGGAAAATTAGAACTTCTTAATGATAGAAAAAACAGCACCTTGTGATATATTGTTAACTTTCTTTAATGCAGATATGAGTGTGTGTGTATGTGTGTGTGTGAGAGCTGTTAAAACGTTAACTAGTGAGATTTATCTAAAAAGTGGTTTGAGAAAAAGAAAACAGGCTCATATAAACCCAGCGAGCAAAGAGTCGTCTATAATACGTCTAAAAGACGTAATTGTTAGACATCCAAAAGACGTCCTCACAGGAGCCAGAATGAAAGTTTTTTATACGTCTTTTCAGGACGTTGTTTAGACGTCAATTAAAGACGTGCTACAGACGTAATTTTTAAACATCCAGAAGACATCCTCACAGGAGCCAGAATGAAAGTTTTTTATACGTCTTTTCTGGACGTTGTTTAGACGTAAATTAAAGACGTGCTACAGACGTAATTGTTAGACATCCAGAAGACGTCCTCACAGGAGCCAGAATGAACGTTTTTTATACGTCTTTTCTGGACGTTGTATAGACGTAAATTAAAGACGTGCTACAGACGTAATTGTTAGACATCCAGAAGACGTCCTCACAGGAGCCAGAATGAAAGTTTTTTTATACGTCTTTGCTGGACATTGTATAGACGTAAATTAAAGACGTGCTACAGACGTAATTGTTAGACATCCAGAAGACGTCCTCACAGGAGCCAGAATGAAAGTTTTTTATACGTCTTTTCTGGACGTTGTATAGACGTAAATTAAAGACGTGCTACAGACGTAATTGTTAGACATCCAGAAGACGTCCTCACAGGAGCCAGAATGAACGTTTTTTATAATTTTTTTTTGGACATTGTTTAGACGTCAATTAAAGACATGCTACAGAGTTAATTGTTAGACATCTAAAGGCAGCCAGAATAAAAGTTGTATTAGTCACGTTTTCTGTAGTAGAAATGTCAAAGAAGACTGTTAAAGACCCATATTGAAACGGAAATCCCATTTGTGCATTTTGCAAGGATCCAACTTTAAAAAATCTTTACTTCAAAACAGTGGCAGTGAGTTAGTTCTCACTGAGAAAAACCCAGTTACTCATTGTTAATGGTTGTCGTGTCATGAAACTGCAGACACACAGACCATAGACCTAAATAAGATTTGAAAGAATTTTGATAATATTGAATACTCAATTGAATACGGGAACTGTGTAGAGTCTTGCATTTGTATATCTTATCAATATAATTGTAATAAACTGCTTACCATTTGCCTGTAAACCAAACTGATCACTCCAAGAAATCAACTATTTAAATCTCAAAATATATATTTTATTACTATTTTGTTCTACTGGACCAAAACTTAAAAGCCAGAACAGTAAAGTTATAAATTAACACAATTTCCCTTTAAATAATCTATAAAATGTTGTTAAAACAGTATAACATATCAATTAACAAAATGTGGCTGCTATAAGCTTCACAAGCTTCATTTATAGCGGCAAGCCCCGACTCTCCCGGGGGCATGTTTCAGATGATCGGCTGCAGACTTTATTTGGGCCTCTGTTGCAGCTGGGTCCCATTTCATGACAGCAGCTACAATCAAAGCAAAAAAATACACATGTAAAATAAATAAATACAAACGCCACTGTTGTGGTTTAGCTTGCAGCAGAGATGCATAGAAAATGTTAGTACTCGAATCAATGAAATGAAACAGTTATTAAATCACAAATCAAGTAAAATTACATCAAGCCTGATATAAAGCATTCCACACACACATACACATATATATATTCTAGGGATGCACGATATAGGATTTTGGCCGATATTCGATATGCCGATATTTTCAGACTAATTTTGCCCGATGCCGATACCGATATATTTGTGTGTTTTTTTAAGTGCAAAAAAAGCTTATTAAAGCTTCTATTAAAGTTCTCAGTCAAGAGCAGTGAGTGATTTCCTCTTTGTGTTTTTTTGTTTTATTAACATTAACGAGATAGTTCTCCCCAAAATTTAAATTGTCATCATTTACTCTCTCAAGTTTCTTTCTTCTGTTGAAATTATAAAAGTTATTTGGAAGAATGTGGCTAACCAAACAGTTGCTGTACTTCAGTGACTTCCATAGTATATTTAAGCACAAGAAAGAAATGAATACAGGTTTGGAACAACATTAGAGTGAGTAAATAATGACAGAATTTTTATTTCTGGGTGCAGTATCTCTTTAAGGACAAGCGGCAGCATATTATTACTGTCTCTTTAAGAACTGCACGCGACGCGTCTAATATACACGCATTTGACAAGCAGATTTTCTCTGTTTGCTTTCACTTTAGACATAACCAACTTTGTTTATGTAAACCGTGTGTGTATTTGACAGTATCAGCGCAATAAGACTCGAAAGATTAGTCCGGTATGCAGACTCTGTGACAGGCTTTTAGTTCCTGTGAGCGTCGGGTGTAACGCGCTCAGAAAAGCGGATGTTAGAACAGCGCATCAGCACGTGAATGATATGTTTACCTAGCAAGACTTTGACGCACATGCAAATAATGAACTTTTGTGAATTGCGGTGTCCCGTGACCGTGAGTGTAACTCTACCTCTGCGTTTACATGTGATGTGATGTGAATGTACGTCGCGTTGTACAGTATGTTGAGATGAAGGCGCCAGAATTGAACTGATAGAATGCACGATACTATGATTTTTCTTCAAAAGCAGATCGTGGAGACATTTTAATCGTCCACGATCAAAAACCGTGGGACGCACACCCCTAGTTGGAAGTTTTGCTGGCGCTCATGCTTCGTTCGCGTCACGTGCGCATAGGAAACACGCCACCCTATCGGCAAGGCTCATCGGCAGAAATATTCATATCGGCCGATGCCGATGATGGTCATTTTAAGCTTTTATCGGCCGATACCGATGTTGTCCCGATATCATCGTGCATCCCTAATATATTCGTATTCGTATTGAACCGTTCGGTACGAGGCTTTCGGTTCAGTGTGCATTACAAACCGAACGGTTTGTTGGACCATTTTTCCTGCTGACCAAAATTTCGTTATTTAAAATGTAGGGGCGTGGCAAGCGTGCTCATAATGTAAGAGACGCTGCTGCGACCACAACATTGCCCAACATCAAATAGCAAACGTAATGTAAGCGGAACGAAACTGCAGCTGCGCTACTCGTTATTGTGTGGTTGACGGATCGTTTATCAGTTTGGACCAATCCAGCGTCTTGATCAAGCGACACTGTTACTACACAGCACTAAGAGATCCAGTAAAGAAAGCAGTTGAATTTGCCACTGAAGTAATAATATCGCAGCGAGATCTAGTGAGAAACATTCACATTTCTTCGTTATTAACGGATCAAACAGCGCTGACGTGGAAAACAGGAATAAACTTTGTGCCATGAATGAACTATCCAGTGCCCACAGATCAGCAACATTCACCATGGATTTACTGTAGTAACACTACTAACTGTAACCATGGAAGTTTGGCAGGAATAGTAGGCTATAATGCGTTCAAGTAACGTTACGTCGGTTTTATTTCGACATTATGAATAAAATTGCTGCCCTCAAATGTTAATCTGAAATAAAATAAACCTTTGTTTATAACTACTACAATATTACAATTAATTTTTTTCAAGGAGCAAGGAGCTGTTTTTGTTTTATATGCTCCTAAGAAGAGTCAAGTGTAGCTCCATCACTGCTCAAAGTAAAAAATTATCATACTTTGATGAAAAATTATTAAAAAAATTAAATCAAGGAAATTTCTCTGGCTTTTCTTTCTTTTTGCTGTATCAAAAACGTACCGAACCGTGAATTTTGTGAACCGTCACACCCCTAACATATATATTTATTTACATTTGAATACAGTTATCAAAGACCTGTTTGTGAAAGGTTTTTTATTTTTATTATTGTTTATGTTAAAACTAGGGGTGTGACGGTTATTATATAACCGTGAGACCGATGGTTATAGTTGAACACCGTCATTAGAACTCTATAACCGCCAAAACCGTGTTATTAAAATATATTGCAGATAAGGTTATACTAATATCAGTGTTGGGGAGTAACGGAATACATATACCAGCGTTACGTATTCAGAATACAAATTATGAGTAGGCCTAACTGTAATCTCCACAGTAGAGCCCGACCGATATATCGGCGGGCCGATATTATCGGCCGATTTTAGGCATTTTCCTAACTATCGGTATCGGCATTTATAATGGCCGATAAATGAATATTTTAAAAAATGCGGGTGCGGTGATTCATGTAAGGGTGGCGCTGCCAATAAAGCACCTAAAAGCTGTCACAAGAACTGGCAAAAGTAATGATTATGAATACAACAAATATAGCAAGGAGACATTTTAATTTTTTATTAATAAACAAGTGTTTTCAGTCAGTGTCAGCCAAAGATGAAGTTGACGAAGCTGACTTGCGATCTTTAGTGAACGCGTGCCAGAGAGAAATGCACATTTCATTCGATTACATAAGTCTGTCTGTCTTTCGTTTTGAATTGTTCTGTTTAAAAGCAGACATTTCAATATAGATATATTTCAATTCTCAGGTCTATACGCTGAGTTTCGGTTCATGAGACGAGCTCCAGTTCACCCGCAGGCGCCTCCGTGTCGAGATTATCTATCGTCTGCTAAATTTACTTCTTATAAATTAAATCCAGACAAATGGTTGATGAAACATTGATTAAAATTAAGATACAATTAATACAAAACGAAATTCACTTTGAAACGAAAGGTTTTGTGCTTTCTGTTTGATGTCTATGTAAAAGTTTCAAAGCATATTTTAGTGCCGCTTTCAGAGCGCTCACGTCCGTAGTGCTGAACTGTCGCGTCTGTAACATTGTTTTTCCTTAATGCGAACACGAAAAATAAATAAAATGAATATTTTATGTAGCCTGTGGAGACTGAGAGCCAACCCTTCTTCATCCGGTGGGTAGTAGCCTAATTGTGATTTGCGCAGTGTAATTCACAGAATTGATTTCTCTGCTAC